CTTCCACGATCCGTCGATGACCGTCTTGATCATTTTCGCTACCGGCGTGATGGTCCACTTTGCCAGACCGATACTCGTCAGGAGATCCTTAAATCCGGCACGTGTCTTCGGGATAGCCATGATTCGCTTGCCCGACCGCTCCGCCGGTTTCTTCCTCTTCGACGCCCTCTCCTTCTTCTTGTTCGGTTTTTGTTTTTTCGCTGCCACCAACTCGCCTAGTCCCATTCCGAGTTTGGCTTTGAGTTTCATTGCGTCCGGTACGGCGTATGCCGCTGCTCTTACACACAACGATGAATCGGACGTTTTCGCACGTTCCCGAGCTCTGTCCGCAAGTTTGAGATTGGCTTTGTTCCTTTCGGTAGTGTCTTTGGTCTTATTGCAAGCGATGTCATGAAACTTGCAAGCTTCGTTAAGCGAGTTTATACCCGGATCTTCACGTTTCAATCATTCTACAAGACGAGTGCCCGGTCCGCAGTACCTGTAGTCGCCCGGCAAGTGTAGTTCGAACGGTAGCGAGTTTATCAACGAGTTTAACAGTCCACGTCCTCGATTGGTTTTGCTGCAAGTTGATAATCTTCTCGGTGACATACTCTGACGAAAATGTCCATACTATTTATACGGAGAAGTAGACAATGACTCTCCGATAAAATAGGGAACGAATACGATGCGACTCGTCAAGCAAAGAAAGTCATTGCGAGTCCCAAACCTCGACAAACGGAAGAAGCAAAATGAAAACCGACGACAACAACGTGACACAGTGAACTGTTACCGGAGAGTATCCGTTGCATTGTCGTCGGACCGTCCAACTGCGGTAAAACAAACGTGATGGTTTGCTTGCTACAACATCCGAACGGATTGAAGTTCCGCAACGTGTACTTGTACTCCAAGACACCGTTCCAACCAAAGTACGAAGAACTGCGTCAGATATTCGACGGAATCGACGGTCTCGGATACAACGTCTATTCGGACACGGCCGACATTGTTCCACCAAACGATGCCGCATCGGACTCGGTCTTCATTTTCGATGATGTCGTTTGTGACAAACAAAATGCGATGCGGGATTATTTCAGTATGGGAAGGCACAGCTCGGTCGATAGTTTCTACTTGTGTCAAACGTATTCTCGCATACCGGAACAATTGATTCGGGATAACGCTAACCTGCTCGTAGTTTTCAAACAGGACAATAAAAACTTGCGACACATCTACGACGATCACGTCAACACAGATTTCACGTTCGAAGATTTCAGACATATCAACTCGGTGTGCTGGCACGACAAATACGGGTTTTTAGTCATCGATAAAGATATCCAAAAGTCACTGACCACCCCTGTAACTTTTTTCCAAATTGAGATAGAAGTTTGAAACTTTGGCAATGTTCCTTGGGCTAAAGTAGCAACTTTTTGGTCCACCCTAAATTTTGGGGGGCGGCCCCCCCCTAAGGGGGGCAGGGGCTAACTTTTTTTTTCCAAATGGCAACCCTCCTTTTGTGATACCTCATTCGAAAGATAATAAGAAAAGAAAATTTTCGGCGCAAACCGCAGGTCAAAATGTTGATTTTTGACAAAATGGCAGCCGGTCAAAGTTCAAAATGGCGGAAATTTGGCATCTCCGTTTTTTATCGACGGATTGGTCTGAAACTCAGAATTTTCGGGTATTTTGGGACGAGAAAAACGATTCTGGCATCGGTTTTCCAGAAAAGTCAGTCCTTTTCAAAATGGCGGCGGTCAAAATGGCGGCGGTCAAAATGGCGGCGGTCAAAATGGCGGCCTATAGCGAGAAGTGGATATTCAGGCTGCTTATCGTTGGATTTGCATGAAACTTTGTATACGGGGGTATTTTGGCAAGATAAGAACGAATTTTTCATTGGATATCTGAAATTCCGATGACTTTCAAAATGGCGGCGGAAAAGTGGCAAGATATCAGTTTTACGGCTGTTAACGAATGTATTTGCATGAAATACGATATCGATAAATGAGTGTTTCAAGAATTAATGAAAGATTTCTTTTTATCCACCCAAAAACCACCAGGATATCGAATTTCATGCAAATCCGTCGGTAAGCATCCGTAAAACGACTGGAAAATAGGATCAGTCGACTAGAGGTTGTGAATCGAGCGAAAGAAAAATAGTGTTGCGATGGGTCACACTGACGGTTTTGGCCGATCGAAATTACGCCGCGGGCCAAAAGGTGTCAGATTCTCACTGGATTCCGCCGGAAATTATATCGTATCGAACAAATGGATTCGTCAAGTGCAAGATCCCGAAAGCGATGAGGATGCGGTGAACAAACAATGGTCCGAACGGAAGTGGAAGGAAGCTATGAAATTAGGTCAACACTGTCTGGAGCGTATCCACCAACTTCAACAATCTTACAATCGTCTGGTTAAAATAGTAGCATCGAAACAGCATTTGAATCGAGAGAGCGGACGACGACGACGTCGACGGTAATTATCATGTCGGCAGAAAAACGTGGGATCGTCGAGGAGCTACATAAAGCTGCACGACGAAACTATCCGCGTCGTAAAGTACGGATTCTCGGATTGTTCGATTTATGGCAAGCCGATCTCGTCGAGATGCAACCGTACGCCTCGGTCAACAAAGGATACAGATATCTCCTCACCGTCATCGACGCGTGCTCGAAAAAGGCGTGGGCCGAACCGCTCAAATCGAAAACGGCCACGGATGTCATTTATGCTCTGCAACGCGTTCTCAAAGCAGCCGGAAAGTCACCGAAACATTTACAAGTCGATATGGGCTCGGAATTCTACAACTACAAATGTCAAGCAATGATGAAGCGTCATCAGATCAATATGTACAGCTCGTACTCGACAACAAAAGCCTCCATTGTCGAGCGATTCAACCGAACGCTCAAAACGAAGACGTGGAAAGAGACGTATTACCGAAACTCATCCGTGAATATAACGGGAGCGTTCATCGCACCATCGGGATGAAACCAATCGATGTCACTGAAAATGATGTACCGATGATCCTGCAAAAGCTTCGTGGACCGCCGTTGAGTAAAATTGAAAAGAGACGTCTGGCCAGACGAAAACTGAATGTCGGTGATCACGTCCGGATCTCGAGACTCAAAGCCATGTTCGAGAAAGGATACACACCGAATTGGAGCACGGAAATTTTCAAGATTGTCAGCGTCAATCCGACCGTTCCGATCACGTACGATCTGAAAGACACGCACGATACGATCATCAAAGGAAAATTCTACCGCAAAGAACTCCAACCCACCAACTATAAGGATACGTTCCTGGTGGAGAAAATTCTGCGTCGCAAGAAAAACCAGGCCTTTGTCTAATGGTTGGGTCTGGACGCGAGTCACAACAGTTGGATCGATGGTAAGGATTTCGTACAAATAGTATGCATTCTCTTCTCAGTATCGCAAGGAAGAAATCATGATCAATAAAATAATTCTCATCACTTTCATCATTATCTTCGTAACCATCGTTGGAGTGAATTCCACAACGGTGGCGGAAAACTCATCCGAAGCAGAAATCACAATGTGCCCGGTCTGTCCGGAAATCAAATGCGCACCCTCTACCTTGACGGACGTTCTTCTATTCATCTTGAGTTTACTGGCGCTCATTTGCTCCGCTCCGTACCTGTACTCTAAGTACCTATCATCCGACTGCAAGTTCCGTTTCATCAGGATGGCCCGTAAAAATAACAATCGGAAAGTCGATAACATAAGTATTGATTTAAAGTTTGGAGAAGGAGAAGGGATCGATGTTTGTGGTTGACAACCCGCACGTTTTCTGAACGCGCACGTTTTCTGAACGCGTACGTTTTCTAAACGCGTACGTTTTCTAAACGCGCACGTTTCTCGAACGCGTGCGTTTTCTAAACACGAACTGTTTTAAACTGTAACAGTAAATATCCACTAAAAAAAAAAACAATAATAAAAAATAAAACAATAAAATTTTTTGATTCATCAAACTGAACAATGCAATATCAAATCCCAGCTGCTCATCGCAAAACACAAGGTTCCCATACGCATCTCCAAGCGCACACTACTGAAAATGGAAATTCCCGAATCAGACCCTAATCTCCAGTCCCCGATACCAGGCCCATACTGTAAGATACGGTCTTTCGAAGCCGAAACTTTTACAAGTCCGAAATCTCCAAAACTAAAACTCGTATCAAAATTCGGTCCGTACAGTTTTCCGATCTTCGATAATGGAAAAGAATCGCATCGGTCCGCGGCGGATCGGAGGAGGGTAATTTTCCGAAAATTTTTCAATTTCCCGAATCAGACCCTACTCTCCAGTCTCCGATACCAGACCGTTACTGTAAGATACGCTAAGTCCGAAAATCCAAATTTTTTGCACAATCTGGCAATATTGTATTGAAAAAAATAAACTAATTTCTTGCACCATCTGGCAACACTGTAAAATTCGATGTTGCAAAATTTCACCCACAAACAAATCACTTATTTATGTGCACCGTCCGGCAACGTTGTAACCGCCATCTTGAAAAATACACCATTGCATAACCTGCGTATTGAAGGGGCTACATTACACCATTGCATAACCCGCATATTGAAGGGGCAACATGCAATACTTTTTTACAGCGTTGCCATATTGAACAATAAGCACCATACATCACTGTAATTTAATTCGTATTTTTCTGCACAATTTGGCTAAAAACTTTTGTTCTAAAGTCCCTGTTTTTACCCTACTTTTCCCCAAGTATTTTAAGACTTTGAAAGGGCGTAAGACGAAAATTTCAAATAGCAAAGGTATGTTTTGACTTCAGATTTGGATTCTATGCGAAACTTTCCGTAAAATTGATAGGGCGTCCGGCCTATTTGCTCTAAATTACTTTAGAACCCCATTTCTTCATAAGAAGCTTTGTATTTTTGGAGAAAAAAGGGGCAAAAAAATGTGAGGCAAATAGACGGTGCGCCATATGAATTCTACGTCAATTTATTCTTCTATATTATTTGAATGTAAGTAACCATGTACCTACAATGTAATTATATCCATTCAAGGTGATGTAATGCTCGCTGCTGGGGTAATTGGATATTTGGGAGCTTTCTGTCCGAACTTAAGACGACAACAATCTATTGCATGGGAGAACTATTTGAAAATCAACAGACTCTCATGTTCTGAAAGTTTCCATATTTCCGAGGTCTTGGGAAATGATGTAGAAATGCTGAACTGGAAGATCCATGGTTTACCAAATGACGCAGTTTTCGTCGAAAATGGAATCATATTAAAGTAAGTAGATTTGAAAATAGGTAGTAGATTTGTGAAAAGACTTTTGCTCTGCCGCAAAGAAATTGTCGAAATACATTAGCGGATGTGCCAAGTGAAGCCTTTAAGACACATTATGTTGCCTCTACGAAGGCTTGCCTTTCAAAAGTAGACACCTAGCATAAGAGTTGCGCACCGAAAGATTGCCAGGAGCGTAGTCAAATCATTTTAATGGACAGGGAGGGGGATCCGGTGAGAGACACTTGCAGAAATCTTTTTAAAATTCCTCTTCATCCGCTTGGCTCATTTATATAGTACAGACGTCAAAATGATTTCGATCATGATGATATCACACTCATAAAGCCATTATGATACCGGTAAAATAATACGACAAGGTGGAGAAATGGTGCTGGGTCCACACCATTTCGCGGGGAAACAAAGCCAAGAAATACCAAAAATTAAAATTAGAGTCTAAAGAATTTTTAGAACTCTAATGCGCACCAGTGCAGTTTTTTTCATTTGTACGCACAGCTCGGGGTATGTGTTTCTCTCTCGTTCGAGAGCGGGCGGTTGCGTCTAGATGCGTTCGCATCTCCAACCAGTCCGATAATAATTTTTCTCGGGTTTTCCATGTTTCGTTATGAGAGTTGTTCAGCAGCGACGGTAGATGGCGCGAGGATCACACTTTTGTGTCATGCCTCGGGTCATATCTATGACGACGTTTTAATGCCGTCTTGGATTTTGCGGCATGTTAGGTTGGGTTCACTGCCGAGTGTGATCTTCTGATGAGATCTAATAAGGCCCAAACCGGTAAAGATCTGTCGGCGTGACTCCAATTTAAGATTCCATTGCAAACTGCCTGAGCTGAACACTCTCCCCCCTCAGTTACGCACTGGTGCGCATTAGAGTTCTAAAAATTCTTTTGACTCTAATTTTAATTTTTGGTATTTCTTGGCTTTGTTTCCCCGCGAAATGGTGTGGACCCAGCACCATTTCTCCACCTTGTTATATACAGTTTTGGGCCGCTTCTTATTGTTTAATTTTTTCATAAAATAATACGTTAAGCTGTCTAAAATTTATGGATTATTAATAATTAAATATTTAAGTATGATTAAAATACATAAGGATGATAAGCCGCTACGACCAATAAATTCACCTTTTTATGCAGAGTCTCTTTTTTGTCTAAAATTTTATCGCATACTGTGGATAAACCGGAATATCATGTGAAGAATTCATTTGAATTTTTCGAGTGCATCGTGCATCGATGATTAAGAATTGCCCAACGATTTTTGCCTTATTTCTCGGAATGTTATCTCCATTTCAAGTACTTAAACATACCTGCCGATCTGGCTTTAAGCTGTGTGAATGATAGGCGTGATGAGACTGAACAAATTTGCAACATTCCAAAAGATCAGTTCGTTTACATGCTAAAAACTTGCATTACATTAATGATTTTTGAATTTAACGGCGTGCTGTATAAGCTAATGATAGGTCTTGCCACGGGTGAATGCGTCTCGACAGCATAAAGTAATATGTGATGAAAGCAAAGACACAAAGACGGAGCGCTAAAAGCAAAAAATGAAGCTTCTTTTCAACCACCTCTACTATTGGCTAGAGGATTGGCGGCGAAATCGGGACAGGTTTGAAATTCAAATGTAGGGCGGGAACTAAATAAAATTGCGGAAACAAAGTATTTTAGGTGGATTTTTGCCCAAATTCACTTAAACACTCATCATATATATAAGCTCCAAGACCTCCTAATTTTGCGTAACTGGTGACGCTTAGTTCCACCGTTCTACCGGGCCGATTTTAATGATTTTTGCGGCTATCGACGGACAGTTGTCTCTAGATAAGCCAACTCTTTTCAGATTTTTAAAATATGGCCCAGGTTTTTTTTTATTTTAAGCGGTAAAGTTGCGAATTCTCCCATTTAAACAATGTAAATTTATACTTTTTGTCATGGTTCGTTTGAGCGTTCTACCGGGCCGATTTCCATGATTTTTGCGTAAATCGACAGGTAATATGCCCTAGATGAGCCTGCTCTAATCAAATTTTGGAAATGGGACCCAGGTTTTCTTAAAATCAAGTTATAAAATTGAGTGAATTTACGGAATGCTCCGGGACTGCTACCGCTATGCGCGGGATGATGCGCAGTGGTCGAGGAGGTTGCGCAGTAGCTGGGTAGTCTGCGCATCAGCTCTATACTTATCTACCCAAGATTCACGCCAATGACTACTATTCGAGCGGTGGCCGTATCGTCTAAGACGTCGGATGCGTCCACCTAATTCTCGAAGTGGGTTCGATCCCCGACTCCTGACTATCTTAATTATTACTTGATTGTCATTGTTCGTTATTTTACTGCAATATTTCATCAAGCAGTCATTCCAAAACGCGTCCTTTTGACTTAAAAAAAAAAAAAAAAAAAAAAAAAAAAAAAAAAAAAAAANAAAAAAAAAAAAAAAAAAAAAAAAAAAAAAAAAAAAAAAAAAAATTATTTATTCATTGAAACCAAAAATTATTTCATTCTGAAAGTAAAGTATACCTCATATCGTAATTTTTTGGGGGGAAATATAAAACTAACACTGATAGAAGGTAAAAATAGGGCCACGAAGCGGCCCATTGATGGCGCGGAGCGCCTTCAGGGGGTTGGGCCGTGTAGCGGCCAGGGGGCGTAGCCCCCTAGTATTTTTATAACTTTAGGTTAGTTTTGGTCCGTCGTCGACCGATTAATTTCATTTGGGAGTAACGGTCATATACGACTGTAACGGCCTGTTTGAACCGGCAGAACCACCATGAGCAGAAGAAAAACTAACTTTATCTGAGATTACTGCCTGTTACCGAGCAAAAGTAGGTGTATTATAGTAGGACGCAGTCCCAACTTTCTTAATATATTCGTTTTAGGCATTTAAAATACGTTTCGAAGAAGAAATGTGGAAAAATCAAGAGGCCAAGTTCAAATCAAATTTCCGTTTGCCGCCATGAATTCCCGCGCTCATTTACACACTCACACAAGCACCCAGCGCCAAACCAGGCTTCACTTTTTCCCTGTGCTTTTAGATACGAGCACTCCGTCTTTATGTCTTTGGATGAAAGATTTTGAACTCACAGGGCCGAGCACCATAGAGTAGGTATATTTTGTGTTCTTTCACAAACGGTATAGGTAAATGAATAAATAATAAGAGAGAGTGAATACCTAAGAAAAGCTCACAAATATATCGACAAGCTACCAAACAACTTGAAACAAATTTTAGCAGAGCCATCCTTCATTACTTACCTATTAACTTACTTATTTTTATTGAGGAATGCCCATGTACATAACATAAGATTTTTGAGGTAAAATAATCAATATTTGTACATATGTGTATACATGTAAGAAGGTGGAGAAATGGTGCTGGTTCCACACCATTTCGTGGAGAAATCAAAGCCAAGAAGTTCCAAAAGTTATAATTAGAGTCAAAAATACATTTTTTTAACTCTAAAGAGTACCAGTGCAAAACTGGGGGGGGGGGGAGTGTTCAGCTCAGGTAGTTTGCCTTGGAATAATAAGTTAGAGTCACGCCGAGGGATCTATACCGGTTTGGGTCTCTTTAGACCTCATCGGCAGATGCTTAATGCATCACCTCCAAATTTCGCCTGCATGAATGTGGGGAAATAATTATGCCAGCCGGTGTGCAAAGGGTTTTGAGTTTTGTTCAGTTTTCGCGGAGATATCTCAGAATAACGCAAAAGTTCAAAGAGTTCTTGTAGGATACAGCAGCGGCTCCCCTTTTCTCGGTTGGAGATCTCTATCGGCTTGACGGGGTCACTACCGCTCCTGGTAATTTGTTTTTTCCCTTTCTAAAGTGTTGCGCTGCAATCGTACCACCGATACATCACTCAATTTTGCTTCATATTATCCATAAATTTTCCTCCTAAACAATCCAATACATAAATGGTATTGTTTTAATAAAGAGGGTTATTCAAANCGATTTTACCCTACGCTTGGATTTTGCCCGGAGTCGGATATGTTGTTCCCTATCACTAGACACGCCTTTTCCCGTCATTTGCAAGTTCACCCTAAATTTTTCCCGCGCGCTACAGCGTTGCCAAGTCGGAAACGTGAAAATTCCGTAAATGACATTAAAATCAAGCAATGAAGTCGCCGTTTGAACAAATATTCTCCGAAATTAAACCTTGAAGAATCCAAATTTTAATTTTTCATCAAGAAATTGTTGCTCGAAATTTGCCGGCTTAAAATCGGCCGTTTTTGCGGCGTATGACTTGCCAGGGGTTGATCTGACGACGAAATTGGTTATTTTAATACAAGACTTTTTGCTAGTTTTGGCAATATTTGCCTTATATTCTTTGTTCACTTCTAATTTTTAATTTTTATAAATATAACTCTCATGCAGTGAAAATACACCTCTGAAGAATAGTTTAATTTTCAACTTAGAGGCAAAACCGTATCTCTATTAGATGCATATCTCTTGTATTCAGTCCAGAGATTTAAAACGCTCAATACAATAAGTACAGCGAATTTTGTCGAATCGTGTCAAGAAATCACATTTTGAGACTTTAACGGAAAACTTTTTGACACAAGTTAGGAAATATGTCGTCATATAATGTCGTCAGATCAACCCCTGTCAAGTCACATGTCATAATCCGCAAAAACGGCCAATTTCAAGCCGAGCTAAAGTACGTGTATAATACCGAGTCACCGTCCCAACTTTATTTATTTGTCCGTTCATGGGGTCCGGGTGCAAGTTCAAATTAAATTTCCGTTTTCCGCTATGAATTCCCGCGCTTATTTACACTCTCACACAATCGCAGAGGTAATGTAGCATCGCGTCCATGATATTGGACTCCATGATCACCTATATAACGTCCAGTTGTTCATCACGTCCAAGATCTTGGACTCCATGCTCACTTTAATGAGGGATAATTTTTTAGAAAAATCGAAGTGAGCTTAGCGTCCAAAATTGTGGGATGTAGGTATTCTCTGACAACACAAGAGCATATGGTCCAAAAATTTATTCAGACAATTTTTGTGAAATAAAGACGTAAAAAAGTGTTTTCGTAAAATATTGTGCATTGGTTAGGTTAGGTAGGTTAGGTTAGGTTAGGTTAGGTTAGGTTAGGTTAGGTTAGATTAGGTTGGGTTCAAGTTAGATTAGATAAGAGAGCTATACGATTTTCGATCATGATGAACTATAAAACTAAAAAAGGTCTACTTGCTATTGGACTCCATGCTCAAGCAAAGAGGTGAGAAGTTTAGCGATGAGCATGGAGTCCAAAATCTTGGACGAGATGAGCAGGCAAATATATCAAGGATTGGCTACGAAGATTGCCGAGCACTGACGAAGGCCTACTCGCCGCTCAAGACGCGCGTCTAGCTCGCAGGTGTATCTGCTCCTTTAGCAATAGCGAGATGGAGAGGAAGTAGTTTGTAAAGGTCTGGATACACGATCAAATTCTGAACCAATTCTGATCAAGTAGACCAGTTGATGGCGGATGGTCACCATGCAACAGTCCTCTTATATCAAAATTGGACGGGCCGTCAAAATTTGATCAGAATGGAGTGCCACCATTCATCTTTTTCTGCCGCACGAAACATTTCTGCCAAGTTTTCATTTTAAAATAAGCAAAGTAATGATTTTAAGACTGATGACTCCCGACACTTTGATGGTAATTGGTTCGGGAATTTGATCGTGTATCGAGATCTTAGGATTTTAAATTTCCGTGAACCAGGGGTTCCGTGAACCATAGTGTCCGCACTAAAGAAGATGTTGTAGTGTCAGAATATAGAGACTGTCATTTTGGCGCGTATACGTAATATACCGCCTTTGCGATCGTTTCGACCCCCCACTCGATACAATAACCGAGTTCCTTAGTTCCTTACCGAAAAGTGACTACCGCGAACTTCTGTGATCTTCCAAAGCGTGTAAAAAGTTTACTACTCCGTCAATAATTATGATTCTAATGTATTTCTCATTCTGGGGCTTTCTAGTTTATGTGCAATGAATACCAAGAGTCTACGTTACTTGGTTTTTTCTAAAAAAACCTAAGAGTGGTCAGCGCTGATTTAAAATATGCATATAGAAGCAGAAGCAAACGAACTGATTCGAGGATTGCTGAGCAGGCCAGAACTCTAGGAATGAGAATTTTACACCTCCGTTTCGTTCATAACGTTGCTTTGACAGATCTATACACCCCTGTTTGATTTTCAAAATTTGGTACCACTGCTCTGATAGCCCGAGCAGCCATCTGTGATGAGCCTCGAGACTCAATACAGGAATCCACTTACCCCTCTCCTCCCCACGCGCTTCATCACTGCGTCGGCATCTCATCGGCGCTCGTCGGGTAACAATGGACTTGGGTCCCAGCGCGGCCGAGACCCTCGCCGATTACTCACGCTTAATTAACCCTTTCACCGTCGCGCTAGGATTCATCCTATTTTCCAAAAAAATTGTTTCGCGTGTATTTAGCAATTTTTTCCTTACTCTCCGTTAAAACACGAATAAAAAGAGGCCTCATTCATAAAAATCGGCCGAATAGAAGAGAAGTTACAGTAATCGAAATCCGAAGAAATCAACAAAACCTTGACTTCTCGATACAAAAAATAAAATGAAGGGGAAAAAAGAAATGCATAAATTACAATTAAATATAATTGATATACAATATTTGACAAGCAATTCAATTATGTAACGGAGAAAAAATTGGGGGAACTTACAAAAAATTCGTCTCTTGCAAGGAGCTTCCTTGTAAGAATTTTTGACTTGAAAAGAAAGATCGAATAGAAGCAGTACTCCATACAATACACGGTGTGCCTGGACGAGTTAGACATTTTTTATGTGTCCAAATCGAAAATTCTTTACACTTTTTAACTACAGTGTCTCTTGAGTCGTTTGAGCCAAAAAGAATAAAAAAATCCGTCGAGATTTTGGAAGATTAAGGCGCTTTAATAGTATTCTAGGGCTATAATAGCTAAATCACCGGTAGTCCCGTTATATTATTATTAAAACGAAATTGACTCCATAGTTCAATGCCTTAGTTTCTTGAATACGATTATTTTTAGCACTCAAACATTTATACCATCAATTTTAGCCATGGGGTGATTTCCTGAGAGCCGATAATATCACGAATTTCTCATAGAACTCTTCAAAAATGGCTTGCTTTTGGGCAGCCGATTCGGCCATCGAACCGGGATTTAAATGGAAGGGGATAATAACACAAAGCTCTGAGAAAAATTTTGAGATGAGTGTAGGAAAGGTTTGTAAATAACGAAGAGAGGCGGGCAAAGCGGCTAAAATCTGATCTAATTTTTACTGTTTTTCTGTAGAATTGATGTTTCCACGGACTTCTGACTGTGTCCAAACATAGTTTCTGTTCAGCATTTTGATACATAAGTATTTTCACACGTAGAATCTAGTTTTCACGTCAGGGAGTCGACATATTTCGCTTTTTCGATTTTATATTGAAAATTGATGGTTTTTCGGGATTGAAATTACTTATTATTGTTTCATGAAACATAAATGCACCCAAAATAACTACAGGGTGATCCAAAAGTCCCTTCCACCCCCTCTAACTTTTTACCTAATTGAGGTAAAGATTTGAAACTTGGGGGATATTCCTAAGTCAACGGGAGCTACTTTTTGGCCCCCCTAAAATTTTCAGGAGGCCCCCTTGGGGGGGGACGGCCCCAAACTTTTATTTTTCAAATGGGGAAAACCCCCTTTGTGATAGCTCGTTCGAAAGAGCATAAAAAAAGAAAACTTTTCGCGCAAACCCGAAGTCAATATCTCAAACCGTTTCAAAATGGCGGCCGGTTAAAGTTCAAAATGGCCGAAAATTCACACCGGTTATTCGTCGATGGATTTGCGCGAAAGTCCGTTTTTAGGGGTATTTTGACACGAGAAAAACGAATTTGACGTTAGATTTTCAAAAAAACCGAAATTTCCCAAATGGCCGCCGGTTAAAGTTCAAAATGACCAAAAATTGATTTTTTTAAATTCTAAGTTCAAATTTGTTTATCTTATGCCAAAATACTCTCAAATTCCATGTTTTAGGCAAATCCATCACGTAAAAACCGAGGTGAAAATTTCGGCCATTTGAAACTTTAACCGGCGGCCATTTTGGAAATTTCGGTTTTTTTGAAAATCTAACGTCAAATTCGTTTTTCTCGTGTCAAAATACCCCTAAAAACGGACTTTCGCGCAAATCCATCGACGAATAACCGGTGTGAATTTTCGGCCATTTTGAACTTTAACCGGCCGCCATTTTGAAACGGTTTGAGATATTGACTTCGGGTTTGCGCGAAAAGTTTTCTTTTTTTATGCTCTTTCGAACGAGCTATCACAAAGGGGGTCTTTCTATTTGAAAATTAAAAGTTGGGGTCCGTTGCCCCCCCAAAGGGGCCCCCTGAAAATTTTAGGGGGGCAAAAAGTAGCTCCCTTTGACTTAGGAATATCCCCCAAGTTTCAAATCTTTACCTAAATTAGGTAAATAGTTAGAGGGGGTGGAAGGGACTTTTGGATCACCCTGTATAGCAAATAGACTTTTAAACATAAGAGCACCCCCGAAATTGATTGGTAAATTCAACGAGTGGGTATATCGACCAGGTATATCAAGTTTCTGCAATTTCTTACGGCAAATCGGTAGATTCTTGGGGTGTAGATTGCTGACTCTCTATTCATGAATGAATAAAGCATGGACATGGTTGAACTTCTTTGCATGGAAAGACGTTTAAAATGACCAAATCAAGACATATTTAATGCAATTGCATTTATATCGAGTCAATTTCTTTTCAATAATATAACGGGATTTATACTACCAATGATTTAGGCATTTTAGCCCCAAAATTCCTTTCAATCGTCTTTATCTTTCAGGAGCTCGACAGAATTTTTCCTTTCTTCGCTTAATTATTCCGTAGCACTTTTCTTCAAGAATCTGATAAGATTTTGCTTGAGGCAGATCAAAAAACTTAAACTCGTTCGAATGCCTTTCTACATTCACAATACACGGTCTCGTCAAATGTGCGTCGTTGACCTCGCAGTGTTGGATCTGGATCGTGGATTCTCTTGTTGTGCTGCTTGCCTATTTTCAAATCTCTGTAAATGAAAACTAAGGGGTTGGTAGGTTTGAGTTAATGACGCGCCTTATCAACACATTGTGTTGGAGTTCACTGCTTGTTTTCATCGTGTCCTTGTTATGACATCATGCCGATTTCACACTGATATTAGCATGATACGTCAGGACGTGTTCGGGTTTCGTTGATATCGGCACGATATCATATTGACATGAGTAGGTCTGCCATCATATTGATATCAATACGTCGCGAGTATCATGGCAGTAGTATAATATCATGTTGATTTCATGTTAAGGGCAAGTTGATATTCCTCCAATGTCATGTTGGTAACATACTGATTCCATGTTGGTATGAAAATGATATTATGTTGATATCATACTGATGTTACGCTGGTTCTCCCTGGTAACATGCTATATGACTGATATGATGTTGAATCAGCACGATTCCTTACTGATTTAGCATAATATCACACTGATTCAGCATATCAGGCAGGTTGACTTTACCAGGGTTGTCTTTCACAAAACCCTTAATTTCATTACAGAAATTCTAGAAGATCGTCCTTCATCATTGATCCTCAAGGTATTGCCAACAATTGGATTCGAAGTATGGAAAGATGTAGTGAACTTAAAATAATTCATCAAAACAATCCTGACTTCATCAGAGTACTTGAACATGCTATTCAGTACGGAAAACCTGTGAGTAAAGATGTCATCTTCTGGTCACCTGCTACTTTTGCAGTTCTTCAATCGAGTCAGTTTTTCAGTTTTTTATGATACTAAACACCAACATAAGTAAAATAAAAGTAATAATATGTTTAATTATTAATTTTAATAAATTAAAATAACTATTGCAATATAAAATTCCGCATAAATTTGATGGAGCTTAGTGTGCAGTGGAGCAAGTGAGGCCTGGTTGAATCATGGGCTATGGAACTTGCCTGCAGCTCCTAGATCAGAGGAGAAATACGGAGTGGGAGGAGATATCAAATGAATGTGATACGAGAATTAGTTGAATGTGAAAGGAGGAGAACGGGAGTATATATTTCAGAACAAATATTTGACAAGGGTGTTCTAATTTTAAGGCAAAATCAATTCCAAAACTTTTCGTATTTTTCTGTCATTGTTTCAAGGTGTTGCTGGAAAATGTTGATTGTAAATTAGATTCTGCTTTGGATTCTGTCCTACTGAAACAAACTTTCCGTACCGGAGGCACCGTTTCGATAAAACTAGCTGACAACATCATTGAATACAACCAAAATTTCAGGTGATAATTTAATAGAATATCGCGTAGTTTCTTTCTCTACGCAATAACGAAAAGTGTGCCAAGCACACCAGGGAGTACCCAAGTCAGTTTTTAGGGTGGGGATTTGCTATCTTTCTCAGGGTGGGGCCTGGACCGCGGACCATGGGAGGGGAGCACCAATTTCGAGTCATGTAGGTCACGATTAGGTGCGCATTTACCATTTTTATTCCGCCACACTCAATACGATTAATGGACATCCCCTAGCCGCCCTCTGGAGACTTCTCCGCTGAAGATAACAGACTCCTCCACGGGCTCATTAAGGCTCATAGAAGACATAGCGTTCCCGAACGAGAAATAACACCGAACAAACAAACTGTGTTCATAAACGAGAAAATCTTCGTATGAAGATTTTCTCGTTTATGAGAACAGTTTCTCACGTTCCTGGTCAGACACATTCCATTGACCTGTCTATGTACCATGTATAGCAATAGGTATTTCATGGGTACCTAAAATTATCATTTTGACAATAATGAACAGATAAGTATAGGTACACGAATTATCACAATTTTCTATAATAGAAGCGAATTTTATTTAGAGGCTCGGCACTACTTTTGGGGCCGAACCTCCGATCTGGGTGCCATTTTATTTGAGTTCGGAACTTCCGATTCGGTGACTAACGAATTGCAACGTTGGTGCGTAATTTTGGTACCACCTTGCAAGGTGGTTCTAAAAAAGGTTCAACTTATCGAAAACAAACGGATTTGATTGGTCGAATCTGGTAACACCGGTGTCCACTGCTGCTGGTGATTGATGAGACAAACCGGGACAAAACTTCCCAAGAGGTTCGGAATTTTAAGTAAAATTCGCTTTAGCAGGACAACTTATTTCAATCCTGAGAGAATTGTGTCCTCCCAACTTGCTAATATTTAAATGCGTTATCTTCAAAACTACGATTTTGGCAATACCTACACTCTTTCCGAAGGATTCTTAACCATCAACGCTTCAAAGCAACACTGAAAAAAATGTTTCCTAAATACAAGGCGGAGCCGTCTTAGACCAAGTAAACTGGATACTTAAAAAGTATCGACAAGAAACGGAGGTTTGAACTAAGACAACGGAGTTACCTTGGATCAAGAAATAGCGTTTTCTCAATCCAACGCTCCACGTCCCCTTAAAAGAAGAAAGCGTTTACTTAAAAAAAGGAAACATTCCATGCCGTGAAAATATTTCCTAAATTTAAGAAATTATCGTTTGTTTGAAGTGAGTATCCGTCGTATTGATCTAGGTAAACTGTTTACTTAGAAATAGGAAACAGTTGCGTAACTCCCACGTGCATTTACTGGCTTCAAGTTAATGGTTTGTTTAAAATTAGTAAACGGCGTGTTGGACGGGAATGCGCGTTTATTGTATTGAAACCAACTGTTGTCTTAGAATTAGTAAACGGGGACGCCCGGCATGAATGGATGTTGCCTAACTCTCAGGCGTGTTTACTTATTTCTAGCCAATTGTTGTTTTAAATTTAGTAAATAGTCACTGCAGGTATGCACACTGCACCCATATCATATGTATTATTATTGATCAATAATAGCAAAAAATGGTTTAATTTATCGAATTTTTGATGAAAGAAAATTTCAATTGTATATCTGCAAGTATCGAAGACTCGGCATGGCAAGTACCGACTTGCAAATTTTGGCCTACCTATCGGGATTTGAACCTGGGATCTACAGTTTACGAACCTAACACCCTACCTACTTAGCCATCGGGGCTTATGTCTACGTCGGCCGAATTTACACTATATAAGTCATTGACTTAGGCTCTCACCATTATTGTGATAGTGAATATGCGTGAGACCTGATGGGTTAAGATTTTTTGAACCCGAAAAGATGAATTTGGAGCAAAAAAGAAATATGCGTGTTACTGTTGTCACTTTTTTTACGTTTATTTTTGTTTCTTTCCCATCTTATATTAATTTTTAATCTCTTTAAAAAGAATTTAAAGCAATGCGCCTTTTTTAAAATTTTCTCTCTTCATTTTTTCTTGAAGAATCGCTGACTTTAAAAAAATAAGAATAAAGAATGAAACTCTCCGAAAATGTTTGTAACACAATAACTTTTTATTTTTGATGACTGAGATTGTTACATTTTTTTAAATATTACTAGTTCTATTCAATTCGATTATAATATTCAAGACTATTCTGGACCATTTATTAGACTTTTCTATTTCAATTAGAATATTAATAGTTCTATTCAATAGTTCTAATTAATTCACATCGGGCGGAAAAGGAAGGATGTGAGCACTATAAAAGAAACATTAATAGTTCTAATTCCTTACTTTAAAAAATAAGATTTGAAAAATAAGCTTTGAGATTTTCTGGATTAAGGCATCTTTTTCCGTGGACAGTCACAATTTATTCATTAAAAAAGCTCAATCTTCGATTACTCTTATATTTTACTCAGTTTACATAATCACACGCGTGACGTTCTAATACTTTATTGTATAGCTGCACTTCATTTTCGTTACACTCTCTAAAGTTGATAGGAAGATGGTAAAGAAGTGCTGGATCCACCCTATTTTGCAGGGAAACAAGGTAAAAAGGGTCAAATGCTTCAATTACGGTAAAAAATGTTGAGCTCTTATGAGTATCCGTACAAGACTGTGGAGGGAGGGGGGGGCGGAAAGATCGGTCCCGACAGGCCCTTCGACCCAAAATTTTCCCAGACACAAATGAATCAAAGTTTTAAATATCAACAATTTTGCACTCGCAAATTCCTTTCGAAAATACAGAAAAAACTGTATTTTGTTTTCGATCCACTCCATCGTTGCGTTCATAAATCAAAGGGACCCGGAAAATCTATATTGAACAGTGTAAACACTACGTAGCAGCAGAGTTATTCGATTATCCTCATCTGTCAACTTGGTGGGTGACATGCTGAAAAGTATGATTCTCTCCACATTTTTTAATTTTTTCCTCGGCCCTTAATAGCATAAGCATGCATTTTATTTGACCCTTTTTAATTCTATCTGCGAGGGATCTTTCATTCATCAGGACAGGAAAAGTAAGGAAGAAAATAAGTAAAAAAAATTCTAAGGAAACCGTTTTCTTCTTTCGACACAACGTGTTTTCTTCTACCAAGCAAGCTGTTGGGTTAAAAGAAGGCAACAGCGTCTGGCTTATTGCATCCTCCCCCGCTGAGGGCGTTCGCCCCGTTTACTAATTTTGAGGAAACCGGTTTCTTCTTTAAACACAACGTGTTTCACTGTACCAAGCAAACTGTTGAATTGTAAAAAAATCAACGGGCGTATTGCTAATTGCATCTGGTCGCCTCGAAAGGAGTTAGCCCCGTTTACTAATTTTGAGGAAACCGGTTTCTTCTTTCGACACAACGTATTTTCTTCTACCAAGCATGCTGTTGACTTAAAAAGAGGCAACGGCCGGACTCAGAAGGCGTTCACCCCGTTTACTAATTTTAAAGAAACTGGTTTCTTCATTCAAGCAAAAGTTGGCTTATTTTAAAACAACGTTTATTTTATTTAAGAAAACACGATTCGCTTGTCTCAAGCGAATCATGTTGTCTTACATGAAGAAAACCGTTGGTTTCTTCCAAGTCAAACCCGCTTTGAAATAAGTAAAAAATCCAAGTAGACGCGTTTACTTAAATTCAGGAAATCTTTTTTTTCCGTGAACCTTATCATTGAACTTTAGCGAGGGTAGGTATTTGTCTACACGAAAACTGCCACTGAGTTGTTGCTTTCTCCCTTCGGAAAATATACTCTTTCTACGGTAGATTCGCGGGTCCCTTGAAAACGAGCAAATCAACTAGACTTGCATAACAAAACTTAAAACGCAGGCACAAGTGCCGTGTTTGTTTTTATTTTCATTTTTTTATACCGGGGCTCACTGTTCGTCACGAGAAATTCTAGATCACTATTAAATATGTTATGAATATATATTTTCAAAGAATTTTTCACTGCTTTTTCTTCTTCTTTCATTCGTTGATTTAGACTTTACATAACTACAAAAATGTCCAATCCACGATTGGGACAAGAGATTGGGATAAAGGTGACAGTGTTAAATTTCACTGTGAACTCTGAAGCAGTAAAAGATGTTATGCAAAATGTTGTCATTTCATCAGATCGTCCCGATTTAGACTTGGAAAAGACTCAAAGCATGAACCAGTCTCTTCAGAACAAGAAGTGAGTACCTATGTTCTAAATTTTTTGCTTCTCTCTCCCCTTTACTTAGTGTAGCTTGAACTATATCATTTTTGCGATTAAGCCTGCATATCTAGCTTTCTTTTTGACAATGTCTCGATAGAGATAACCTTTGAGTAGCAATTTATCAAAAAAAAAAAACCTTTAAAAACAGTTTAAATTATTTTCCAGGAAAAACTATTGGGTTACTTTTTCAAGTAAAATTCAAGTCAGGTGAAATTTACAACTCTTCACAAAATGGCTACTTTCAATAGGACTTTTTAAAGTTTGCTCAACCCCTTTAAGTGTTTTAATAAACCCAGTAGATCCTTTAAGAGTCTTATCATTATACTACAGCTCTAAGCTCGCCTAAAATTCGCAGGAAATTCCTTCTCCCGCACGACGCGCCACGCAGGCCCACCGACCGCTCACCGCAGCGGTAGCCTCTCTCCCCCTCCCGGCGCCGCGACGCCCGTCCTCCACCGGCTGCAGGGCAGAGGATTACTATATTACATAACTAGTCGTGATTACCCAAGTAGCCAAATCCAACCAAAAAGTTGCAACTAAGTTTCAACTTTGTTTCAACTTAGTTGCAACTAAGTTGTAACTTTCTTATCATTAAGTTGCAAGAGGTTCCAACTTTCAAACAACAAAGTGAATACTTCTTCAGATAAGTTGTAACAAAGTTGCAACTTCCGATGCATCCCCCAGGTGACCCACGGGGGGCGGGGGGAGGGGGTGGGGGGGGCGCGGGGGGGGGG